GGTTGTAGTTATCTGACATATGCTTTATTTGAACATTTTGCTAACATTTTGTGGCAGAGAGATTAGAAAGATTCAAAAGAATCTGACCGTGCAAGTCTATCAGTCACGGGAAGGGAGCAAAGATGTCACTAAAAGATACACACTGCAGCAAATTAAACGAAATTCTGGTCAACCTTAATAATTAACAGTTTATTAGCAAAAAAGCAAAACAAATGTTATAACTTATCCAGGTTGTTCAAAGAGTTAGATAGAGATGGCTGTGTGTAGTAACTATCTTATGTACTGTAATGGTTGGTTTCTATTTTAAATTTTTTTGTACTCGTAAAACTTTTACATTTTAGATCCAACAGACACATAGACCAAAACAGAAAGGGAAATGACTAAAAGGAAAGGAAGAGAGGTGAGGAAAATGGCTTAAATGATGATAATTTCCTAAGAATAAAGGAGATAAAAAGGGATAAAAGGAATATAAGATAACATCCAATGAGCCTGCTCCTTCAGCTCCACAGAGAGACATTGAAAAAGAATAACACAACAAAAAGTTTTGCAGGTATAAAGTGGTCAGTATTACTTTGAATTTGAGGAAGCTTCTTTCTGAAAACACTCCGTTATATAACAATTGACATGTCTTTTTGTTTTGTTTTTTTGCTTAAAGCCAAACTTTTAATAGACATCTGGAGATTTACAATCTCCAATGGGGAACAAATTAGCAGCACCATCTTCTAATTTGGTTGAACACAGGTATTTTTGAAATTATAAATGTCCAGGGCCATGGTGAAACATAAAATATTTAAGGTGAGAAATCAAGAAAGAGATTTAGGTAAGGCGTGATAAGTTTGACTGTGGACAGGAGAGGAAGCACTTGTTCCGAAACTTTAATTAAATTCAATGTGGTCACTTCATTGGCTCATCCTGCTGCTTGAAGCTTGTGCTCTTGTTAAATCCTGATGATGCATTTCTTATTTTGTTTGGCTAGTGCATCCTCTAGTTTCTTCCCGTATGCCTCTCTGCTCTTTCTAATCTTGTCTTATTTTAGTTGTTTTGTATCCTCCCCGACACTTCCCTGTTTTCCCTGCTTCAGCTTGCATTGTTCTTTCGTTTTATTTAGTGGTTCCTTCAAATCACTGGTGGTAGAGAGTTTGTTATTGGGAAAACATTGCACTTTTTGTAGTAGAAAAGGTATTATTTTCCACATAGAAGGTTGAATATTCAGCCACATACTCAGGTATGGCATCAATGAGTTATGGCATTTTGTTGGAATAGTGCAATCCATTCTGTAGCCTCAAAGCTATTCATTAGTGTTTCTTCAGCTTTCTGTCACAATTTTAATAGTTGTTTTTATAACAGGTTGCCGATGAAGAGAGTTGTATGAATTCTTGACATTTGCTTAAAACAAAATGTATGTTTTTTTTCCTCCTGTTGAGCAGCTGCTTCAGAGCTGACACTTCACAGTAGCATGCGTTGGATTGCAATCTCTTTTTTTATTCCTGCTTGTGTCGCTCATCTTTGAAACGTCTGCCTGCTCATACGATCAGAAAATTGGGAAAGGAAATATTGAAGGATATCAACCTACTTTCTCATCTCAGTGAAATACATAATACCTTCGTCCCAATAATTGGACTGGGTTCCTGTTAGTGCTAAGAGGTAATCTATTTTATTTGCCAAACATCTCACATTGCCCATTATGAATGATAGAGGAAGAGTTTTGAATGTCCCTCTTCTCTCTCTCCTCTTTACTCCTGTTTTACTTATATGACCTGAGATCAGTGCTTTAGGAGAAAATGAAACGATGATGCAGACCTAAATGCCATAAAAATGAGTTGCATTACAGTTTGCAGCAGTAAAATAAATGTCTTCTCAGTATTAGGCATGGGTTCAACAAGCTCATGCCTCTTAAACTGTATTATTTTACCCTCGTCAGTGCTCCATCCACACGTGTCACATTCTGTTTTTAGGGAAACAAGTACTTGGGAGGCACAAAAAAATTAAGCTTGTGATAAATCACAATTGCAGTAATCATAATAATAACATACTTAACATAAACTGTGTAGAGCACATTATTAGACGTAAGCATGGCAAAAAATATTTGTCCAAAAAAGAGATTGACCTCTCTCCATTGCACTCCACCCCCCACCCCACTCCCCGTATTAGCTCGGTAAGAAAATTAATTAATGAAAAAGCTATACTACAGGTGGTACTTTAGCAGAGTCATTACTGATTAATCAAAAACAGCTTGGTAATAGGACTGTTGGAAAAAAAAATCACAATTAGGTTTTGTCAAAGTTAATGAGGAAATGCATATTAATGCCACGTCTTTATGTTTTTTGGAAATGCATATACTTCTGTGGTTAAACAACACTGCAGTTTGACCATTACCTTGTTTCAGCTGTTTCTATCTATTTTCTATCTATGTTCTTAAAAATTCAGAATTCAGCTCCTCTTTGTCACACCTCCTGTCCAACTCTTCTTGGAGTACTCAAAGTGAGGAGGAGAAACAAAAACGACATTTGGATTTTTTGTTAATGTTAAAAAAAACATGATTTTAAATGCAGTATTTCACAACCTAAGCAACACTTGAATGAAAAAACATGAATAAGGATTCCCCATTCAGCCTTCAAAAAGAAAACGATGTAGAGATTTAATATTAGATATAAATTCTGGCTTACATCATGAACTGCACTGTGCAGTAACAAGTAATATGCAGCATGTTAAGATAATTGTTTGAAGGATGACTGTAAATTTGAGTCCTTTTTGGAGCAGCCAGGTCAGCATCATTGGTATGATAATTTTTCTCAATTTTTTCACTCATCAAACTCCAACAGCCACATGAATGCAAGCATTTTTGGATTTCTATTGACACTATTTCTTTTAAACAAATTGGCTACAAGCTATGAACTGAAATTGTAAAAAGTGCATTATTGGATTCCATCTGACTTCCCCGACTTCACCTACTACAACTTTTACAACTACTTACTGAATCGGCAATCTTACTGTTCAGGAAAACACTGGAGGCTACTAAAAGTTTAGATGCCTACAGCCATTTTGTGTTTACTAGTAAACCTAGTACATCTTTACAAGTAAAGATTGACAGCCTACTAAGCTTATAATACATTGTGGGAAACCCTGCATGTCTGTTTATAGATTAACATTTTGATTTTCAAAATAAGCAGAATATCAACATAGTTTTGCACACATTTATACTATAGCAAGTATTTCCAAAGAAAATGTCCTTCTGCCAAGGAATGCTGAATGCTTAAAGTAAATCAAGAGGTGTTTAAAAAAGATATTGTTTTTTCAACTGTGCAGACCATTGTAGCGCTGTTATTGTATTACATTTATCTCCTGCCAAATGAATTTGGGGATTTTTCTGTTTTGTTTCATGGGTAAAATGAAAAAGGCAATTTTTTTTTTTTTTTTAAGGAAAAGTCCAGTCAGTAAGGACTGATCAATGGATCATTATCTATACCTAAAACTAATATGTTTGCAGTAATTTAATAAATTTAGCATTAATCAGTAAAAATAATACAAATAATACTTTTTGCCGTGATCACTGAGTCTAGGAACGGCCATTTTTGCCCAAATATAGTAGCACCTCACTCCTGACATCTTCCGGCAGTGACGTCATGGTGCGGTTTACAAGCAAAATCAATGGGAACTATTACACACACATCTGCAATCAACAACAATTTTTCTTTAGATTCCGAGAGGACTTCACCATCAAAATTCACAAGAGCTATAGTTAAAATGACAATGACCTTGTGCATGGCAGTTTGACGTTGCAATACTCGGGCAAAATTGAAAAAAAAGAGTTATTTTACCTTTACGATTCATTATCCACCACGGGTTCGTTGTTGGATTGTCAATTTGAAGAAGGACAATTTGCCATTGAACTTCTGGCCAGAGAAAAAACATGTCATATCTAGCCAATATTTCAAACAAGACTGGGAATGGGACTTGCTCAACAGCCAATACCGCACCGTGACGTCACAAACTGGTAGGTGGCAGTAGTGTTCTTTGAAGAACATGGATGCCTCCAATAAAGCACATTCAAATGAGAATTACTTTTAATTTAAAAAACCCTTATCATTTATCAAACAGTATGTTATAATTTTATATTTAAAGTAGTTTAGGGATTTTGAATTCTTAATATGACCGGACTTTTCCTTTAGATTATTCATCATGGTCTGTTTTTACATTTTGCAAGGCTGGTCCCTTACCAGGCTGTGTTTAAGTTCCAATGTATTACAATGCAAGATAAATTCTGTTCTGTTTGCAGACTAACACTTGGAGCCTTATGTTTTAAGAGTTAATCCAGTTTTTTTGCTTTAAAAATCTGCATTCAACTTTGTCTTTTAATTATATATTCTTAAGTTGTTTAAAATGTATAAAAATGAAAAGAAAAAATGACAGTTGTATAAAATGTGCATTTCTGTATCTGTGTGTACTCAACCTGATCATCTGTACAGTAGATAATGTACCTTGTACACATAACTTTCAAACCAAGGCAGTTAGAATAATTTCATACACTATAGTGTACTACTTTTGCCAGAAGTCTATAAACCTCTGACTTCACGTTAAATGTTTAGCCTTACATTTTGTTCTACATGTGTTTCGTCAGAGAGAAGGAAAACACCACAAATCTGAGAAAAAAAAAACACATCAATGTTTGCTAAAAAAAAGAAGTATCATATTTTTGGAGATGCACAGGAGGCACATAATTATGCACATGTGGCCAAGTTTCCTCTCTCCTTATGAGAACTTGATTTCCCCACAGAACAATGCAGCATTTTAAGCACCATTTATGAATGTGAGCTGTGAGGGCTCATCCGTTCCCTTCGAACGCTAAGATGAGAAAACCAGGAGTATTAGTCATGCCTCCCAATCCTTTTTTCACAGTCTACCATGACACACCAAACATTCATATATTTTCTTTAACTCTCTCTCCTTCTCACTCAGTGATGTTTTCCTATGTGCTGATTTTTATTTGCTCTTTTCTTTAGGCAAACCAACGTCCTATGCAGAATATTTCAGCTTAAACAAAACCACAGCAGAACTCATGCTGCTTAAACCCATTGACAGGGAGCTCTACCGCAGGTTTGATCTGGTTATCAAGGTAAGAAAAACCTGAAAATTCACGCAATGCATTTTTTTTTTATCCTTTTCAAGACAGAGTATTCTTGACTTTACCAGACAGATATTGATGCCTAGTAATACCAAAAATTACTGAAGCTTTTGGTTGAAAAGCTTATATAAGTACAATTTCCCAATTAGATAATATATTTGATAAAAAAGGGAATCTGTCATGAAAAAAAGGGAAGATGTATTTGGATAGGACATTTATTGTGAACACTTCTAGGGGCGTAATCATGAAAGATTCCAGAATATTTTTTCAAATTTCACTTAGTGGGCAGGAGTCAGAATATGCTTTATTGCCAAGTAGTGTTTTACATGTAAAATGAATTTGTTGTGGTGATTGGGTGCTACACAAAGACAAGGGAACATGAGGCTTAGGCATAAATTCAGCTTAAATACTCTTACCCTGCTCCAGCCTACTAGCACAGCTCCACACCCCCGCCTCAGCCAATCATCATTCCAGCCTTTTTATTGTCATTACACTGTCACAAGTACAGAGCAACGAAATGAACCCTCTGCATATAAGCCATCCCCTTTCGGAACAGACTCAAGGCTCTACATTTAAACCTTTAAAGCCGAGGATGCTATTACTTTCCAACTGAACTCCAATCCTCCTACACCACTTCAATAACTTCAAACCACTGACCCGTCTATGGCTACCCTCACTTGACTACCCTCGTGGGAGTAAAGAAATATTTAACCTATATCTACGGTACCTGCTCATGCAGATCTACAGTACTACATTAAGCACCAATGTCTTCTGCTGGGGTCTAAACGCCAAAGAGATACAATATATATTGTTTTATGTCCCTAAAACTTTCTTATCACTGTTTTTCCAATGTATGAGTCTCTCCAAGTAGGAATACAGTTGACTTAAATAGATACAGGAGTAAAACACCTTTTAAAAAAAGCAAGATGTTTATGAAGAGCACCACATAAGTCATTGAAATAGCTACAACAGTATTGTATTAACTGGACCGAATATGGAGACTGAATGCTTCAGCCAACATAAATCATGGCCAAGTTAGTGTCATGACTCAGAACAGAAGGACCCTGTAATTCAAGGCGGGAGAGACAGTGGGATAACTCAAAGCGTTTATTAAAAACAGAGGTGGGCTATTGATCCGCGGTAGCAGCGGCTAGGGAAGGGCACCTCCCATCACTGGAAACTCTGGTTGGGGAAAAACAAGTTTGCGACCATTATTATCTGACGGAGGATGATTAACCATGTGAGTCACTAAACTGGTTTACAGTAATACTTCAGCCCATCATCAGAGAACAAGGTAGGATCCAACCGAAGGGCTGCCAAAAAGATATGGCAGGCGCCGCCCAGAGTGTTCCAGATGCTGCATCCCCAGAGAACATGCAGGAGTCAGTGCCCGGGCAGGGAAACAGAACAGGAAGGCTTGGAGGTCCAGTAGTCAGTAGCCTGGTCAGGGATACCAATCAGAAAAGGAACAGGCTGGTCCAGAGTTCCAGGAGTCCACAGACAGTTCAGGCAGAACTTTCAGACGGGAACAGACACGCTCAGTGGATGAGAGGCAGGTCAGGATCATCAAATCAGAAAAACAAAGGAACACTAAAAACTCTCTCTCCCCTGGCCCCTGAGAATGAGCTCTAGAACAAGAGTAATAATCTCCCTCCGATGGCTGGGACTGAGCCATATAAATAGGAGATGGAGCAGGTGGATTAGATGAGCAGTAAAGAGCAACTGGGCAGATTTGGACAGGTGAATCAGTGAGGCCAGCCATCAGTGCCAACATCATGACAGTTGGTGGCCATGACAGGTAGTGGTCTGTGGTTTTGAAAGTACAATGAATGAAAGCCACTAACCTTCTCAGAAGCTAAGATCTTGCACTGGCTCTGATGATTGATCCCAGATGCTTGATGTATGATTGAGATCAATCAATGACTGATCCAAATCTTGACTGCTCTAGACAGGGCTAAAGTTAGTGGGTGAGTTGTCCAGGGGTCATGCACAAAGAAGCAGTCCACAGAGCAGAAGATTTTAAATTTAGTTCCAAAAGTTTCTCTCAATTTAGACATGATAATCGGTTGGTAAATCAGCTATGCGCGGGCTATCTGAGAACGTGTTGCACGTGTTTATGCACAAAACCATATAGCAAGCATGTGAATGTGAATTTAAAACCAATAGTTTTATTTCGCATAAGCAAAAAGTAAAAAAAGACAGGAGAATCACAATAGTGCTGCAATAACGAACATTTAACAGCACCTCAGAATTTTTTCCAGATGTATATCATACATAATTTTAGAAATCATAATAGTAATCGTTGTAGTGGCAGCTAATACGCATTTAACCTTATACATATAATGGTCTCATACTAGCTATATAATTTGAAACACAGATCAGCAAAAGCTGAGTAGAGAGGGACAGTGCTATGGCTGCCCAGTAAAAAAAAGTTAAAAAAGTATTAACTTCTGAATCAGTTCTGCTCTGTTTGTACTTATTAGAGCAGACATTTCTGATAAGAACAAAACAGCAACAAAAAAACAACGAGCTGGGCTGTGTGCATGTTAGATGCTTTCAAAGCCTGTGCTGGATTATGTGTTGTGCCGAATGACAGTTTGCCATATTTTTTTTTTCTTAAAGGACACAGACATTTGATTGAACATATATACTCAAATAGTGCAAAGATTCACTGTATATCCAATAATTACACTTCATAGACAGAACACCCTCATTGCCAGCCTGAAATTAAGAAAAATGACCTAATGTTCATGTTGTGGTTTGCATTGAAAGCATTTTACTGCGTTTTGTTTTCCAAAGTGTGACTTAAGGCAACAAAACATTTTTTGCCCTAGGTCACACCTAAATGCTAGGATTGTTTGTCATATAATTTGAGCATACATCAGTCTATAAACATGACTCCCAGAGAAGCAGTGGGTTAACTGTTTTCCCATAAATAATTTCGGAGGGCAAATTATACTTATAAAAGCTTTATTTGTATATAGTTCAAATTTACACCATTCTACATATTTGTCTTTGCTCCCTGCATATATTTTTTATACGTAATAGGTATATTCGATATATTCTTATTTGTTCCTGATGTTTAAAAAGCTTTCTAAAGCCAAAAGACCGTAGCATAGAATTGTAAACATTAAAAAGTTGTCCAGCGGTGCCAGCTATTTCAAGTGTGTGTGTGTGTGTGGGGGGGGGTGGGGGGGATGGGGGGGGATTATCATCAGGGCTTGTTTAAATGTTCTAAACAAATAACAGTTATCTTGTGGGCATTAAGCCCAGGGTGAAGTGAAATTACTCCTGCTGAATAATGTCAGAAGGGTTATCTTGTGTAGGCATAAATTGTAGAATGATGTCGTTAAACAGCGAATGGTGCTTACGCCTTTGCTGTAAACCACTGTATCCATGCAGACATGGAAATTAATTGACTAGATCTGGATCATAAAAGTTATTTTCTGAAATTAGCAATTTTCAACATTTAGGTTGCTAGCTATTAAGTCATCTTGTTTTTGTTGTTGTTTTAGTAAAAGGGATTATGAAAACTGTTCCACTGATAGAAGGTGAGAAGGGAAGGCTTGATATCAAACATAGTTTGTTGGAATTGGTCTGATCATATTTATCATATAAATTTTCCTTACATCAGTAAAAAAAAATCAGCAAAGTAATTCTTCAGACAGAGAACATTGTTGCCATTAGAAAGGATATTGAATTGTGTTGTATTGTAACTATATAAGAGGGCTAAGAACGAGGGATCCAAGACCATTTCTCAGGTTCATAATCCTCCCAGTCGACAAGATAATGAAAGCCCCTTCCTCAGGGACGTAAAATGTAAATTCTTTATTGTCCCAAAATGGGGAAATTCACTTTCTGCATTTTAACCCATCCCCTAGGGGAGCAATGAGCTGCCATTGTGTGGCGCCCTGGGAGCAGTGTAGGATTAAGGGTCTTGCTCAGATAACCAGAGTGCAGACTCTTGGATCGAACCGGGTGCTTGCAACCTTCTCAGAGCACACCCTTAACCTTATATAAATTAAACATCGAATGAAAACTGCTTATATTTAATTTGGCTTATTTCCGGGTATCTCTGTATAATATTGATTTTTTTTTATAATCTGAAACATTTTAATACATCCATAAACTAACACTTTGTTAATTTTAATCATATTTATTTATTTTTCGCTGTGTTCTTTTGCCTATTGCTGCCTTGAAGATTGAATTCTTTTTTATCTACAGCATTCCAGTAGAAGTGTCAATGTTTTGTATTGCTGAGTAGTATTTAAAAATTTCATAATTCCCTCCTACTCAACTAAAGGCCTAGTTCCAGGTCAGGAAAAATGCCAAAACATGATGCTTCTAAACCATCATTCAGTGTATGTATGGTTGAGCGCTCAGAGGGGAGTCCAAATGTTTGTTGTTGTTGTTTTTTTTGCTTTTGCTGCTTCTTTGTTCTTTTTTTATTAGCTGGACTAGAATTTTTCATTAAACAAAAAATGTAGTCTTGTCATCCTATTCCAAGGTTCAGACAGATGAAGGCTACAGCATTGTATGATAGCTGTATTCACTTTGCCCTACTGTACGTTAGATATAAGTCTTTGAAATTCTTTTTGTACCCCACTACTCGCTTGTTTTTTTGGCAAGGAGATCCTGCAGATTCTTTTGGAGCTCTCTGCAGAACACTTTGTGACTTTTGATGCGAACGTGACTATTACATGTCAGGTAAAAGCCCCCCAAAAAAGGCTAAATTACAAAAAAAATTATTTTTAATGGCAACATGCTTGTTCTGACTCTTATTTAACATAACAAATGTGATGATTTATTCTGAACACAGTCACATTCTCAATTATAAAATGCTGTGCACACAGACACATCCACATTATTTTTGCTGCTCCTAAAATATTTAAATTTGTTTCTCAGTTGTATTGTACAAAGTATTGTTCCATTTAAATGTGTAAAAGGCTTTTACATCACAAAAGCCATCATTTGAACCAGCATGTGTGCAATATTTATATGCACTGTATACAATCACAATTATTTTCTATTTTCTACTAACAGCATGGCATTTCCCCTCTAAGGTTAGATTGTGAAAATGTTTTAAGAAAGGTTTAATCTAAACATATGATGCAACATTGCAAGTTTTAATTTTTTATTTTATTTTAGATATATAGGTATTTAAGTTTTGAGTGCCTCTTTGTAAGGATTCATGCAAGAATGTAAATTCAGACAGAAAGATAAATGATGTTCTGATTTTTTTTGGATTGTGAGGTTTGCCTTTTTAGACTGGTTCTAGGAATACAAATTGGACCAGCAAAATCCCAAAAGACAATATTTCCTGATTTATGTATTGGCAGTAACTGTGTCAGTTATTATTTATAATGACAAAACAAGGTAAATGTTTTATCATCCATAAGTAGAAAGAATCTTTAATTAGTGTTGTTCTTTAGGGCATAGGACTTTGAATCCTGAGTTTGTGAGTTCGATCCCCCAGTCCCACAGACTGCCACTCTGGCTCCCTGAGCAAGACCCTTAGCCACACGCTGCTCCCCGGGCGCCGCACAATGGCAGCCCACTGCTCCCCAAAGGGATGGGTTAGATGCAGAGAATTTTTCCCAGTTTGCTAAAGACTGGGAAGCTTTTCTATAATTCCTCATTTATAACTCATCTTGTATTGCATAAGCCGTATCCTAGGTCAGTTTCTTCTTACCTCTAAATAAAGTTGTGCTGTAAAATTGCAATAATGGTTTGTACTGCTGCATTTGAATTTGCGACAAAGCATTTTTCTCTGCCTTCTCTGCTAGGCTGAGCAGGACAACGGTCATCCTCTGCCAGCGTTTGCCAATCTTCAAATCGAAGTTCTGGATGAAAACAACCAGGCACCCTATTTCTTGGAGTCTGGTTATCATGGATACATCAGCGAGGCATCACCAATAGGGACCACTGTTTCTACCAATGTCAGCCTATCAACTCCCCTCACTATAATAGCGTTGGATAATGACGTAGACGAGGTAAGCTCAGATGTAGCTCATGCTATATATATTTTGTTATCTTTACTTTTATGACTATTTAACACACTTATAGTGTTATACCAATCTATTATACATAGTGTTGCATACTGTATGTGTTTTCACCCATTAACCTTTCTTTCCTTTCATCTTGATGTACCTCAATAATCTAGGTAGAAAATCACAAACAGGTGAGTTAGTTTTCTGAATGAGTTCTAATTTATATAATGATTCAACTCTTAGAGGAACATTTTTGTCTGAGGAGTTAAAGATAAACGCAGTCTTATCGATAGTACATTTTCCATTGTGGATCAACCAGGTAATTGTGACAGGGAGAGGTGAAGATATTCACATCCTAGATAGTGTGTGGGGCAAAAAGTATTCAACTATTCACCGTAGTTAAATAAACGGAGATTGATGGATTTCACTAAGTCGGCACTTAATCATATCTTTGCAAAAAGAGAACAGTTCATCATACATCCCTTATGGCACAGTATTTAGCCCCTTTCAGCCCTGGACAGGGTTAGTTCCTGTTAACACTTCGGTTAACAGTAACATGTTATGAAAAAGCCCTGAGAAACATTCTGGCTTGTTTTTGGAAGAAGCTATGTCTGGTCTACAAACACCATCAGTGAAAAATTTTATAGTGAGTAAATAGGATAAATTAATAAATGAAATAAGAGAAATCTAAATTTGTTCAGACACCAATAGAAATGAACAACAGTTTGAGAGATGAGTAAAGAAAGCTATTTTTGTTATTAGAAACAGTCCATCTTTAAAAAGTGGAGAAGGCCTTAGGGTCCCGCTGTCTCCCTCTTACGAAGCTATTATTGCGAGTATGACTCAGCCCTCTGGGAACTATAAGCAGTTATTAGAGTGCTAACAATCAGTTATCAGGCTCTTGGCCCTTGTTTGGATGTGAGCAACCATTTTTGACTGTCACCGTCAACTTGTTGATTCACTATGCAAACTTACATGGCTCAGTTTATCTGTAACTCCTCAGTCTAAAGAAATTCCTCTAAGAGGTGAAACATTTTGATAGATTAGAACCCATTCAGGAAGCTAACTGGAAGAGAGCTAACCTTCTTAATAAAGAAGAACCCATTTAGGAGACCTTGTTAACTTCTTTGAATTTCTTTGTTATGTTCCAAAACAAACAGAATTATGATTTTATGTGATAGACCATACAATCTGAATAAAAAAGACTACATTGTGGTATTAAGGATATGTAAAAAAGTTATGGTTCATAATACATAACAGGTCTTGTAGTATATTTTTTAAATAGTAACTCATACAGTTTGTTTTGTATGCTTTTATTGTAGCTGAAACCTGGTCAGATGCCTGTAGGTATTCTCTGGGTGGTGTGTGGACCTCTCTCCTTCTTTAAGCAAAATCTCTGATTCTTCAATATGCATCATTAACAAGGGCTCCGGCTTCAACACCAAACAACTAAAATATAAAAAATAAAATGTAAATGTGTAGCTGCTATTTTAGCGGCTTTCATATTACAGTTAATTGATTCACATTAATAAGAAAGAATAGTGGCTTATCTTTCTTAGAGATGGAGCCACCATAAGATTCAAACCTAACAATTATATTTCCTATTAATCTCAAGTGGAATAGATAAAAAACTAACTAAAAATATTAGATTTTTTTATGTTAGGTAACAAAGATCAACAGCTAATTCCAGCTCACAAGTCATTATAGTATAATAAGGTGATGCAAACCGGCAGATGGCATGGGACATCCTCACCATTTTAACTCTTTGTGCTTTAGGTTTCAAACCATCATGCATCAATTAATACCTCCAAAAAGAAATATTTGCACCATTTTTAAACTGCTGAAGTGATGAGGTAAAGGTAATTTAGTATAATCGTTTTAAATATTTCATAAATTTTCGTTACCCAGATGCAGAGTGAAGAAAAATGAACCATTTTGAGATTTTTCAACTCAGACATCAAACTGCAAATGTCAATTGCCAGTCTTCTTTAAGATTTTGAGTGACTTCAGTCCTACACACCTGAATAAAAGGCAGGATTACCTTCTCCTGCAACCCCAGAGAACAATCCTGTGAATATGGTGTTCTTCATGCTTGGGTGATGGTTGTTGTTATTCAAAAATATGCATGGTGGAATCCTGCCCAAAACTCAAATTTGGCTTAGCAGAGTTTAACTAATTTTTGGGGACATTTCATCCAGGCCTGGAAATTTTACTTAGGAACAAACACTTCTGTCTTTCAGCTGCACTGTTATTAAACATAAAGGATACCAGAGATTGTTTTTCACATATAGAATACAACCAGTCATCAAAACAATAAAAATAAATAAATAAAAAAGCAGGTAGCCTCTTCACATTTAATGACTGCCTCTTCCAAGCTTTGTCTATACAATAACTCAGAATAAATTGTTTGCACATGTTGCTCGAAAACAAGATTGGTTGTCTTCATTCAAGCAGCATTTATTAATCCTTACAAGTGACAGCAGATATATTTTTTTGCCAATGTTTCTGTTCTGATCAAACAAAGAATTGAACTAACTACTTAGCATTCAAATGAACAGCTGAGAGAGATTTGCATGCAACTTCACTAAAACAAGTTACAGACAGTTTGGAACAAGTATAGGGATGTTGAATAACCTTAAATCTATAGGAGTCTGGCTACTTTTAAAACAACATCTCACACTGGAAAACAGCTTCGCAGTAAGATAAGCCTTGAGGTTGAGCCTTGTCAAGCTAGTGTGCAGTTTGAGTGAATAGTTTTTGCAATATAGATAAAAAAAACAAGCTCACATTCAGGTTTTAACATGGAGAACAAGGAATAGATGGGAAAATAAAATTTCCCACCACATACTACAATCATATAAATTATCTAGTATTACATTTTGTTACCCTCTCCTTACTACCTTCTGTGTAAAGAGATCTTTATGATTATTTGTAAATTTATACAATAACTATGGCTTTAACTGAAACATACACATAAAAAATAGTGAGGAAAAATGCAAAAGAAAAAAGCTTTCTTTCATTTTAACCAGAGCTAAATCATATTTGTTTGGATTTCAAAAAGATTTGGTGGTCAAAATGTATTAGATGGTGCAATTTTTGTTTGTCGGTATAAACACTCAAAAACAAGCATGTGCATTTTTGTTAATTAATTTTATGGACAGTAAATAATACATTATACCTGACAATGTTAAAAAATTTATTGAGGTCTCTATGTTTCCGTCACAAAAACTTCATGTTATGGCATTGATCTGTACTCTTGGAGAGTCAATGTAGGTATCTAAAGAAGGTATAAATTAGTAAAGGAAAGAAGTGACCTGCAAACAGATTATCAATAGCATTAGACAAAGCATAAGGTATAGCATAGTTTATAAAGTGTGAAATCCTGCAGTTGAGGTAGATTGGATCTATAGTAAGAATATTAATAATACATTTCTGATTGTTTTATTTGTTTTTAAGCTCTTTTGCTCTTTACTTTGTTTATAACTCAAAACTAAATTACTCTATTGATTAATAGTGCATACTGGCAAAAGCGTGAATATACATCAACACATTCACAGCCTTACCCACTCCATAGCGGAATGAGAAGACTGCCATATTTTGATGCCCACGTCTGTCCTTTTTTTCTTTCCACTGATTCTCTGCTTTGTGCTTTGCTTGCATTGTTTGAAGTGCCCTATCTAAAGTGGCTGTGAATCTGACAGTAAAACCATTTGGCTCTTTATATTACCTCGCAGTAATAATTAGGATTTTACAGTGCTGCAATATTGTTATCACTGATGCATCCCCAACAGCTGAGTTTGTTTAAGATATAGCAAAGACATTTTGACAAAAAACAGGCTTTGGTTCATTGCTTTCTAAAGGTCTACCCTCGAGCAGGGATTGTGGTTTAGGGAGGATAATGTGTTTGGGTGGGGATTTAGTTTAAGGCGAGTTGATAAACATTTGGTTATTTTTAATAACCGGATCTCTTCCTCAGCAAGAGGCACCAACAGTGATGATTAGTCCTAATGGCTTTTATGTACTGTCTATCATTTTTATTTATGGCTATAAATGCAAATGTAGGTTCTTCTCTGTTTCTGGCTGTTTGTGTGTGGGTGTGTGTGCGCTTGTGAGTGTTGTTGCTTATTTATGGCTCAATATCCACAGCAGCAACATCGACAAGATTATCAGGCCCCCTACCCTGCTGAGCTAGCCTTATCTGGAATGAGAAGTGCTCTCTCGTCCTTTCTCCCTAACACAGACCCCACCCCCCACCCAACCCTCCACACACACACACAGAGCAGAGATGGCTATTTACTAGAGCAGGCCCTAGATGAAAAATGCCTCTTCATCACTGGGTGGTTTGTATTTGTAGACATCAATGGGCATTTACAATTTGTTGTTTCAACAGAACCTTTCTTTATATTCTGAATTTTCTTACTCACTTTATTACTTTACACATATTTAAGGTTCCTGCAGGTCTTTTTGATTTGGTTGGGAATTTTAGGAAACATTCATTGTAGTGTAAAGCCTAAAGCACTGACCCCAGTCTGTAGGGCTCATATAATTAGTTTTCCTTTAATCCAGGTGAAGTGTAATACTTAAAGTAACTTGGTACTAGTTAGTAAGACAGAGCTCACTTTTACCTTGTGCCAAAATTACATTACACCCTAAATAATCTAGAATATTATGAATATTCCTTTAACTTCTCTTGGGCATTCATCCATCCATTTTCTGACACACTTATCCCTGCTGGGGTCGTGAGGGGTGCTGGTGCCTATCTCCAACTGTCAATGGGCGAGAGGGGACAGGCCGCCAGTCTATCGCAGGGCCACACAGAGATAAACAGGAAAAACAACCATTCACACACACACATGTTGTGTCACAATATCCTTGTGGGGACTTTCCAATGACTTCCATTCATTTCCCACTAATTTATATGGCCTAACCGTGACCCTTGCCCTAACCCTAACCATTACCGACACATACCTATCCCTAAACCTAACCTAAACTCAATTCACACCTTAGTCCTAAACCTAACCCCCACCCCAAGAAGAGAAACTTTCCTTATGGGGACCAGATGTTGGTCCCCACAAGTACCTATGAGTCCCCAAAATGTAGCATATTCCTAGGAAATTGTCCCCACCAGGTATTAAAGACATGGCCACACGCACACACACCGACACACACGCACACACACTCAAATCTAAGGTGAATTTAGAGAAGCCAGTGGACCTAATAGTCATGCATTTGGAATGTGGGAGGAAGCCGGAGTACCCGGAGAGAACACATGCATGCACAGGGAGACCATGCAAACTCCACGCAAAAACACTCTGGGCCAGAAATCAAACCCAGAACCTTCTTGCTGAAAGGCAGCAGCTCTACCCTCTGCAGCTCTTGGGCATCTACTGATTTAAAATATTTCCATATGATTTCCACATTATGAAATTCAAATTGTGTAAAGTTATTCTTTTTGTCTTTGACAGACCCGGGATCCACAGTTGCACTTTTCTCTGGACAGTTATTCTCACATATTCTCTGTGTCAACCACTGGGATCAGAAGATATCTCACTCTGTTGCAGCCCGTAGACAGAGAAACACAAGACTCCTACACATTTACGGTAATGTACTGGCTTGACATTTGTGTGCATCAATATTAACAGGGGGAAAACAACTTGCCCAAGTGGAAAGAAGGGAGACTAAACTTGAAGTGGAGAAAAGGCTGTTTTATCTGAAAGAATGTGAGAACTAGAAGGAAAATGCACAGCATTAGAAATACAAAAGTGGGTGGATAAAGAGGATAAGCATTTTACAAGCTACTAAAGGCAGAGTTGCAAAACAATAATGCGAACAAAAACATTATAATACAAGCATGGTAAAGAGGGCGGTTACACAAAACATAAGCAGTCAAGTTAACATGGAGGGAGGAATGACAGAAGATTACAAGAAACAAAAAAGTAAAAAACTGGATTAACTCTGAATTTGTTTTTTATATAAGCATAATCCAGGGTATATTCATCCCTTAAGTTTTTATGTATTTATAGTGTAATGAGAACACAACACTGGTGTATTTATTCTGGCAATTAATTTTTTTATTTACCATAAAAGTTAGTTTTCAGCAACTAGGCTGAGTAAGGAATTAGGTTGCATTACAGCAGCATCCTCTTTGTGACTGAATGAGTAGATGCCACTATGTTGCACATACCCCAGAAACAAACCACTTAATTGTGTAATTGTCTAATAAATATTTCAAATAAAACATGTCTGCTATTAAGCTTAAACTTTGGACTAGGTCTTGGCCAGTAGTCTCAAACTTCAACCATGGAAGGGCATCATCTTCTGCTTTTTGGATATGTCTCCGCCTCAACAAACCTGACTGTTCAGCAGTATTAGCTCATTGGCAGTGATCTCTATAGTTTATTTGGCATAGTACTTAAAGTAGGTACAGGTCTACATTTTTTGTAATCTTTTTTGCGAACCCCACAAACAAAAGCTTAGACGTTTCCTGTTGAAGTGCATATGAAATACAAATGGCCAAATCAGTCAAATTTCTTTCTTCTGACTTTTAATTTATTGCCCAACTGTGTCTCAAACTAATACAGCATCTCTATAAAATTAAGAACAGAAAACTCATCTTTAAATTGATCTTAGCGTATTTATTTTAAAAGTATTTATTTTAAATGAAATGCATGAAAAGTTTAATTATGACATTTTTGATGTTGGATTTTTTAAAAGTGTATGAATAGTCAATAGCATACCCTATAAAAGTAATGTTTTTAGTTTGATGGGATGGAATAGACTTTACCAGATTATAATTCCGGGTAAATTAGCTTTCACAGACTAAGTACTAGGACAAAGATGGTAATTAAGGTATAGTTTTATATAAAAAAAAAAGTGAAAAATAAATGTTAATAAATGACCATGCAGTCATCACTGAAACATTTAATGACTGACATTAAGTGTTGTGGGAGGTGTTGGGGTGGTATGCGACACCAAGTTGTTCAAATGAACAACTTTTGCTACCATGCAGGTGTCTTAGTACCGGTAAATGTAAAATGTTCAAACTTTTATTTGTAAATTCACACTCATACAGGTCAATTTAATGCAATACAAGCTTAAATCAGAGCCAACCAGACTTTTGCTTAGTTTTTTGAAGATGTTTTAACACCAGTCCAGGAGTCTATGTCAATTATGTTGGCTCACACTAGACCACTCAGTAGTTGGAAGGTAGATGATGATTTGGATGATTTTAGGCACCTTAGAGGCCAATCTTCTTAACCAAATTCTAAGTCAGATGCAAATCAAAGAGCAACCTATCATACTAGGTTATTGCCATTTTGATCATGATGAGTTTGCTTGTTATTTATTTGGAATGAGTTTGAGGACCGACATTGTGGATGTTTGGAAGCTGAAACCGCAATCCTCCACACTGTTCCGTGATGAATTTATCTTTTTAACAAAGATGACTTCCCTCATCTCTCTTTCAAACCATCTGTCCTCTCTGTCCAAAATCTGAACATTTTAGTCATCAAAGGTGTATCCATCATTCTCGCCTGTATAAATTATAGTATCATAAATTTAGCATTTCATCAGATTATGCAAAGCCAACGACCTAACATTAAAAATCACAGAATAAACCAAGATATGATTAGGTATTTACTAAAGTCTTTATGACTTCTATAAGCCGGTTTACCACAATAGTAGATGCAAAGTCTGAAATTATGGCTTTTAGTTTCAGTTTGCCATCCCAAGATTTTTAGTGGCCCCATTTGGCCACCCCTCCGAAACATTTCTGGAGGTGCCACTGATCGTTCTTGAGGTGCAAGTGTGAAGCTAAACCTTGCCCAGGGCTACTGGCTCTCCCGTAGACCGTACATATTTAAATGTTTCTTTACAATTACTTTCCACTCTCCGGTGATAAACAGGGTGAATCACACCAAGCAATGTATTAATGTAACAAGGTGAGAGAAATCCGCACTGATTGCTGTAAACATTTAAATACTGCCAAAGCGCCTGTGAGTAATGTATGAATTAACTATGCTAAAGGCTTTGTAACTTGAAGAGTTTGAAGGGAATGTGTGTTCAAAGATTAATGATGTTTCCTGACCTAGGATGGTACCTGGTTTATTAGCTGATTACACATCATAGAGCATTGCTCTGGGATCTATATGCTGAATTTGGTCCAGTACTGACTGAGACACTGGAGTATCCCCGTTCATCACAGGTCTTAAACAAGAAGAGGTCATTGCGCATAATGCTAATGTAGGAAAAAGGAAAAGTAACTTGGTAAAGATTTGTAAAGAAACACAAATAAATATATATAATCATAAATAATCTGCTGTACATAGGTAACATTTTAATATTTCGCTGAGTTAAAGGTATAAATAATGTACTGTAAATCTTTAATTCAAATGAAAAAACAGACAGGTAATTTATTAAAGATCCATGATAAGAGACCTCTGAAATGAATGAGTTGATATTATGAAACACAACCGCTTTTACCCATATTAAATCTTATACAAAGGTGTCCTGGGTTCTTAAATAATGTTTTTTGTTGTTGTTTTGTTTTAAATTAATTAAACCTGTTAACCACTCTGTGGTTCCTGTTGGCTTTTACCTGTGTGAATAGGTGTTAAACATAATAAACAATAAATTGACTTTCTGCCTAAAGCAAGTTTAGGAATATATGTGTGAATTTATCCTTAAATGTGAAATATCACAGCCAACATTGTCCTTGTCAACATGATCAAGCCTCCCATCAGACTCTAAAATGTGTCATTAAAAATTGGCAAATGTTCTGTGCATGGAAGTGTTTAAGAATTTTCTGAAAGTTATTTTTTATATTTTGTAACCTATCATTTAAGGCAAAAAAATAACTTTTGTACTTTAGTATGATGTGTAACCTGTACTTTTTACTTTTCCTTCAGTAAATGAGTTTGATCCATACTTTACTAGAATCTTTGTTCACAAAGTGTCTGTACTTAAATAAGTAGCCTACAGATTGAGAGTATTTGACTTCTCTTTCTTCAAATAATTTTCTTCTAAAAGTATTGTAGGATTACCAAGCTATAATCTTAAATAAAGATGTGGTAGGAACTAACATGTGCCTTTTGGTTTTGATGGGGACTTTTTGTGCAAGCTGGTGAAGTTACATTGCTAAACAAATAGTGAGACATGTTGCTTATTTAAATTCCTCTGCACTGAAAAAAGAAATTTGACAGTTGGTGCTCTGCTGCAAATATCCCCTGCTCTTCCAAAATCTAAAGAAGTGCATCCTTGGAGGATATCATTATTGAGCCCAATAGCAATTTACAATAATATTTATGGTAGTCATCTACACTGTAATATCATTATGTAACATGACCATGTATCTGTTTTGGAAAAGACTTTTTCCAAACAGACTGTTTGATCAATGCAAGATAACAATAATAATAAGCTATCTTCTTTAGGAATGTTATGGAGGCACCAACATTGGCCATATATTAACAGAGCTCCATTTTAAATAATAACAACTATCCCTTAAACCAGTCATACAGTAATAAAACTGTTGTTAAAACAGGAAAGTGGGACCTTTTTGCCTAAAATTTAACAGTTTGACTCCTCTATAAGGAGAAAATGCTGCACAAGCCTTCCCTTCACACTTAATTTGTTTGTTAGTTATGTCTTTATCATTAAATGTTTTACTGCTTTCTTCCAGTCAAGACTGCTTTTTACAAGGCAAAATATCTTAATATGTGGGCATCATCACATAATATAAAGAGATTATTCTTTATAAAGCTGTAATCCACCGATTCCAGCATGAGAACAGAGATGACGTGTATTTTGTGTTAAGTTGTGAAGCCAAATATATGACTTAAGGTGCCCTTGAGTGTGCATTCAGTTATTTGGATGTTAAAGATGGAAAAGCAGACAGTCTGGAGTATTGATTAAATGTAAGAGGTATACAGTAATCATTCTGAAAGCCTTGGAGAAGAAGTTAAACTCAGACAGAAAGAAACAGTGTGCCATGAGACATAGGGTGCAATTTTCATCAAAGACTACTTTATCAACTTCTTGGCAGATGAACTTGTGAAGAAGATTGTTGTTGATAAAGATTTTGTTGTTGTTGATATTTGCTTATAGTGATTCATAAAACAAGGAAAAATATATGTCTGAAGAAAAAAAGGATTAGGATAAGTAGATACAAAGGAATATGGTTTTCAAAAGCAGCCTGAATTAACAAACATTTACCCACAATCTAATTTTACTATGTAGTCTTTGACACACTGGACTTTGATTATATTTGGTTCTTCAATTTTGGAAAAAGTTCCATTATTACTTATTGTTGCTTTAACAATAGCCTAAGCAGATGAGTGTATAGAAGGGTTTAATGTTGCAGCTCTTGGAGAAAAATTACTGTTAAGCCTAAAATGATTCATTAAGGATTTAGATTCAAAGTGATACTTTAACTTTAATACTATGGGTTTCAAGTTAAGATATTACCTCCCCAAGGTCTTGATCTATTTGAGGTTAGCAGTACAAAGAGAAAGCCACTTCTCTGGGTAAACGTCTGTGCATAATCTGCAATAGCCAATTAGGTGGCAAGGACTGAGTTCTCTCTGGCCAAGAAATTTTAAACTTTACAAGTAATCAAATGCAAAGAAGTCAAGGCAAGTCCATAACTGTTTTGCTTTTAATACAGTAAAGCAACATCTCGATGTTAAGCATCTGGCTAATCAAACAAATCACAAACATTACAAGCTCTGCTCTGCACCAAGTGTTAATAGAAAGCAGTCATAACTCAGATTAAAGCCAAGGCAATGAAGGGATGTTTTATTAGAGAGAAGTCATTTTCCTGGTATTGCAGTGTATGTGGAAGTGGTGTATGTACGTTTTTGAAAAAAGCCTAAAGGGCTCACCTTTACATAAATCAGTAATCAATTTCCGACTGAGAGGGCAAAAGTGTTGATATTTTTGTAAAAATAGAAGTGACAGTGAATAGCAATCGCTGTCGCTTGGAAACAGAAAACATTATTTTTTACTGGTTTTCACTTGAAGCCATTTTGAACAACCATCCAATATGAGAGAGTCCAAACCACACGCTGAAAGACTCTGTATAATGAACCAGGGAGGCATACAGACACATCAAACGATGTGTAAATAATGGAAACCCAATCTGGTTTTAAAAGATAACCTCCCCCCGTCACTCTTTGGTTGTGCCATGCACTTCCAGACCTATAATGAATGGACTCTGGCCCCCTAAAATATTAAATTAAACATGTAGGTGGCTATCATTGTCCTTGCTGTGTATTTTTAAGACAGAATAAAGCAGGTTTTTTTCTAGATTATTAGAACGAAAAAATAAAAACCAAACCAAACAAACCAAAATGAATAAAATTACAACCTCCCCCCCACCACACATACACACACACCAACACACACACGTATTAGATGGAAACCATGAGAGAAAAAATTTATTTTACAAACACTCCTTCTGATACTTTTTGCATTGATCTTTTTCTCTTGTGTTTCTACCTCCACAGCTGTTAGCATCAGATGGTGTACAGCAGAGTTCTCCTGTAACAGTGACCATAACAGTGCTGGATGCCAATGACAATACTCCAACTTTTTCCAATGTCTCCTATAGTGTGAACCTGTTTACTGACATGTTGCCTGGAGAAATGGTTATACAGGTATATGCAAGTTATTAGCACAGATATTAAAATGTTGGCTCATACAGATCTTAAAAATATATCTATGGTTGGTTTTATCTTTGTAGATGGCGGCGGTTGATTCCGATGCTAATGAAAATGGTCAAGTCACCTATCGCATCTTGGCTGGTGATCAGGGACGATTCCTAATAGACAGCAGGTAAACTGATCAGAGGGGATTCACTACAGCCTTCATGTTTTGTTTTTTTCTATTGGAGAAATTTAACGTTTTATGTGAGGTTTGTTGTTTTCAAGTTTTTTCCTTTGGTGCTCATATATTACTCAATGACAACAAGTCATTGTACAAGCCCCTTATAGCCCACTGTACAAGCCCCTTATAGCAATATTGTTTTAATGACAAAATAATTATTTATCTGACAATATCCTACTCAACTGAATACAGCATAAGCTGAAAATTAAAAAAGTGACTTAGTTTTGCATGTTAATATTTTATTAACACTAAAACCAAATCTAATATATAAAACTTGACGACTTTGAGGTGTAAGTTTATCATAATGGTGAAAGCAATGTCATGAAGAAAAGACCTCAATGGGGAACCGAGAATTGTTGCTTACATGTACAAAATACCTTTGAAGGGTCTGCTTACCAAGAATCTGCTGAAAAAGTTTGCTCACACGTAGAAAACAAACAAGGAGATAAATAATTTACTCTTTCTGTCTTATTGCCCATGCACTCTAAGGAATTATTTTGGTTATAACTATGATACATGAAATTCATTTCAAAATCACCTTAACAGATTAGGTAGCAAATAAAATAGATTATAATGGATAAATTCAACTTTTTTGTTAAAGGTAGCAAATGCAACATCAATATATTTTTTTAAAAAATGTAAAAAAAAAAAAAAAGATTTTTGCCATCCCAATGGAAGGAAGTAACTTCTCTGCTGTTGACTGGAGAAAACATTGTGATGTTTAATTGTGCAGCCCTGTTGTATAATAGTATGAGTAACTGTTGAGATCAGAGAAGAAACCTTGACCATGGTATAGTTTATAACACTGCCCTCTTGCAACATTGAGATCATGGTCTCAATACCAGGCTGACGACTTTCTATAATGACAACTTTTCTAGTCGATATCGCCTTATTTCTCTTGGTGCTTAATTTCTTTTTAAATCAAGGGTACACTTTAGTTATAAATTAGATTAAATGTATTCAGCCAAACTTATTGCAAATTGTTACTTTTGCTTTTTTGGTATAAATTCTAGGTTATTTTATTATCAGAAAAAAAGACTAAACAAACAAAAAAAAAAATGCAAGACACATTTCAGACTCTAGTGTTTTAAGTTCTAAGTCTCAGAACAAGTATTTATATGATTTTGAAAGAGGTTATTAGAAGATATTTCTGTCCAGGGAGGTCTAAACAATCCATAAGTCTTTAAATGTGCAGTATATTTGTCTCTAATACATTTGAATGTTTTTGCAAAGAAAATATCAACATAAAACACAGTTTAACAAGTTAGTAACATGTTTTTTTTTGTTTTTTAAACATTAACAAGGGGATTTTCTACATTTATATTTGTGTACTAAAGGATACTCATTGTGTTAAATGTATGTGTTTCCACTGTCATGCAAAATATTCACAATACCATCTAATTATTTCTCAATTTCTTTTCTTTTTTTACATATGACTTTAGTGCAGAAATGTACAAGATTAATAAACCAAGAATTGGGTTGCTATGGAAAATTACTTCTGCTATACTGCTATTTAATATGCATGAGCAAAGATTATGTGTATAAACAAAAATAATGATTAAAAACTAAATTTATTTCAGCAGTTACATTTAAGGTAACATTAGTATGTAGTATATCGGAGATTACTAAGGTTAACTGATGTAATCAATAGATCATTGACCTGTGTGGTTGGAAAATTTTGATTTCTCTTGTCTCATTTATTTAATTATGCTATTATCCAGTGAAAAACAACCTGCCAGCAAAGTGAGATCCTACGCTGCTAAAAATATGAATCTCAATAAGTCATTTTCTTCTTAAAATAAGTGCAATTTTTCTTGAATTAAGGAGGGAAGTGAGATACTTTGCTAATGGAACAAGACAATTTACATTTGAAATGAGAGAAAACAATTGAACTGTCTTATTTCAAGTGCATAATATCTAATTGTCTTCTTTTAAGAGTAAAAATATTCATTCCATTTGCAAATCATCATATTTCCCCGCTCAAATAAAGAGTAAATATGCTTAATTTAAGACATTTTTACTCATTTTTAGATATTTTTTGTAGTGTAATAAAGGAATTAATCAGAACGAGCTTGAAGTTTAAATAATGCTGTATTTATTCATATATATGGGGAGAAACAGGTGCATACCAACAAAAAAAAAACACAGACTTAAAAAAAAATTAAAATATTTGTGATACAAAGCCTTTTTAACAGGTTGATGGAGACAAGTGGCTACACCCTGTGCTCTAAAGAGGGACCACACCGAAGTATCCTGGCTGGGCTATAACTGTCATTTTCCTTTTATCAGGCTATTCTTTAAACATAAGCCAAGTCAGAAGAGTTATATGTCGGCTAAGGAAAAAAGTAACTGAAGTGTTCTGCTTAGTATTCCCTATTGCAGTCCTCATTTATCAATGGGTTTATTTGCAGTTAGTCGTGTGTGACCTCTCTAACAAACACTTTATATACTGTAGAGAGAAAAAAACTTTGATGAAAAAAAAAAACTAGGAAAAAAAATGTTTAAGACCTCATAAACCCAAAACATTAAAAGCCTAATGCCGTTATAGTGCTATAAATGCTGCTTTAGCTTCTTCGGATAAACACTAGAAGCTGCACTGCTTTCCTCTGCTTTTACGGACTACAAATGTCTATCTAGAAGGAAGGTGGTGAAAATCGACACATAAGGAATGGAAGTAATAATTCAACATAGAGCTTATGTATCCTCTGCAAATGTTTGGTATATGTAAACTACAACCAGTCAACCTTTCTGATCACTTCAGTGTTTATATTTTTTTGGTTTAAAGTCCTTTTATCAGAGTAAAGTACATTTTACATTCTGTATGAAATTTAAGCCATATAGGCTGCAGGAAGAGGAGGATCATTCAGATTGCTTAAGGTCCAGTAAGATGTTTCACCAGTCAGAGATAATTTGGGAAACAGTTTAATCTGCTGGTATTGCCCCCCTATCAGGCCAAGTCAAGTCTACCTGGAGATTTTAACACACCTAATGCTTCAAAACGCTTTATGGATATGCTGATTTCATTTCCAGCAGGACATGCACCTGCCCAAACTGCAAAGTAGTCTAATATTTGCTAGCAAACCTGCTTGACGTAAACCCCTCTGATAATCAATGGAGCATTCTCGAGAGAAACACGACCCATCAATACAGACGAGCTAAAAGGCATCTCTTTAAGAAAGCTGAGAATTCTTAACATTTTTGAAGTGCTGCAGATTGATCAGCACCATGTGATACACCGTTAACGCAGTAATTACATGAAACATATCCTTTTGTCTGTGTTAAATCTATTCACATATGTATGCATTCACACATATGCGTTCTTTTTTTTTTTCAAATATAATAACAGAAATATTTTACATTCTCAGTTATGTTCTAACAAAGTGATATAATATAGGATTCTGAGCTTAATGAAACTGTATTTATGATCATTATTGTCCTAAGACTAAATGACTGTTAATGAGATAACAGGTGGTAAATGGTATACCATAAAAAAGTCAAGGAATGCATAATGTAATGTGAAAGCATTTGGCATGTTAATAATACATATTTGATCATTGTTTTCACAGTACTGGGGTAATTACAGTGGCACCAGGTGCTGAGCTGACTGTTGGCCGAAGCTACGCTTTGACTGTGGAAGCTGTAGACAATGGGCCTGTGCCTCACAGAAGGTAGGGGGGGTTCTCTTGTTCTGCTTCTTGCTCTTTTCCTGTGTTTGTGTGGAGCTGCGGCATAAAAGGTCAGATCTTTACAACCTTCACACTCATTGTCTGATTCTTCTCCACTTTGCCCCTGGCTCCCTTTTTCATTTTTTAATCCATGTCAGTCTCCACATTTAATCACTGATTTAATACAAATCATTTTAAATGTACTTTAACTTATATATTTTTTAGGAAATGTTTGTCTGGAAGGCAGAGTAAAAGAGTGAAAAGAAATGTCACAAGCATAGCAATCAAATAAGCCTGAGAGAATGAAGGCCAGGAAAAGGATGCTATAAATACCGGATAGCATTGCTTCTAACAAAAGAAAATTGGCTTCTCTTTTTTTTCCCCCCCAAAAAATGAAAATGTCAACAAATGGGAAAAAAAAAATAAGTTCAAAGAAATGTTATTGTTCTCTTCAAGAACTAAGTTAATAAATTGTAGTGGCTTTTGCAACTCTCCACTACAGCCTTTTCCCTAAAACCTTTTCTAATCTTCCAGACAAGGCGTATTATTAGACTGTGTCATAAACTTGTTATGTATCGATTTGAGCAACATTTCAAATTTGACATTTTGTTTTTTGCAATCAACAAGCAGAGTTTAAAAAGTCAATTAATAGATTGTCCTCTAGAATTAAGTCAAGCCAAACAGGTACACAAAATAATTTGTAGCAATTACTCTAACAGATGCTTTGGGCACCCCTATTAATCTTAATTATTTTTATCTCTAAATATTTGGGTGTTTTTAACAGCTATTTCAGTTTGATATATCTAATTACTGATGGACACATTAATATTGCAATATTGAATTGAGGTTTATTGGACTAACAGAAAATGTGCAATATGCATTAAAACAAAACTTGAGAGGTGCAAGAATTTGGGTACCCTAATAATTTTATTCATTAGCTACTTTTCACTGACTTACTGAAACACAAAATTGGTTTGTGTTCATTTAGATTTGAACTTCATTTAGATTTGAACTTCATAGCCAGGTGTATCCAATCATGAGAAATTGTATTTAAGGTGGCCAGTTGCAAGTTGTTCTCCTGTTTGAATCTCCTCTGAAGATTCATCATGGGCACCGCAAAACAACTCTCAAATGATCTGAAAACAAAGATCGTTCAATGTAGTCGTTCAAGGGAAGGAAACAAAAAGTTCAGAGAGTTCTCAGAGATTGAAACTGTCAGTTTCCACTGTGAGGAACATGGTAAGGATAATTAGAAAACAACAGGGACAGTTCCTGTTAAGCCCAGAAGCGGCAGGCCAAGAAAAATATCAGAGAGGCAGAGAAGAAGAATGGTGAGAAAGGTCAAGCACAACCACAGACCACCTCCAAAGACCTGCAGCATCATCGTGCTGCAGATGGTGTCACTGTGCATCGTTCAACAATTCAGCGCACTTTGCACCAGGAGAAGCTATATCGGAGAGCGATGCGACAGAAGCCTTTTTTTGCAAGCACGCCACAAACATAATCGCTTGAGGTATGCAGAAGCACATTTGGATAAGCCAGCTTCATTTTGAAATAAGGTCCTGTGGAATGATGAAACAAAGACTGAGTTGTTCCAAGAAAAACACTTGCTAAATTTGGTGGAGGTTCCATCATGCTTTGGGGCTGTGTTGCCAGTGGGAATGTTGTTAAAGTTGAGGGTCACATGGATTCCACTCAATATCAGCAGATTCTTGAGAATAATGTTCAAGAATCAGTTACGAAGTTGAAGTAACGTCAGGGATGGATATTTCAGCAAGACAATGATCCAAAACACAGCTGCAAGTATACTCAGGCATTAATGCAGAGGAACAATTAAAATGTCCTGAAATGGCCATCCCAATCCCCAGACTTGAATATTATTGAACATCTGTGGGATGATTTGAAGCAGGCTGTCCATGATCTGCGACCATCAAACTTAACTGAACTGGAATTGTTTTGCAAAGAAGAATGGTCAAAAATCCCTTATTCCAGGTTCCAGAAACTGATTAAAAGCTACTGGAAGCGACTAGAGGCTGTTGTTTTTGCAAAAGGAGGATCTACTAAATATTAATGTCTCTTTTTTTCTGAGGTGCCCATATTTTTGCACCAGTCAAATTTTGTTTTACTGCATACTGCACATTTTCTGTTAGACGATAAACCTCAATTCATTACTGAAATATTACTGTGTCCATCAGTTGTTAGATATATCAAACTAAAATAGCTGTAACACTCAAATATTTAGAAATAAAATTAATTAAGACGAATAGGGATGCCCAAACTCAAAATTACTTTTTAATTTTATATATATATACAAAATTAAAAAGTAATTTTTAGAAGAGAATAAGGCTATTTTTTAAAGGTAAGTTTTATTTCACTAATGACACTGCAGCAACACATATTCTACTGTGAGTCAACAATGCTAAAACATTCAGCTGAAATAACCTTTTAGACTTATAGGGTAGATCTTATCTCAATTCAGAGGTTGTCAGCAGAATGTTTCTTTCTGATAATCAAATCACAGTTGTATTTAGCTTTATCTTTTTATTCAGGGAATGGCTTAACAAAAGCAGAAAATTAACAGTGTACTGTCCTTGAGATAGGAGAAAGGAGCTAAGTCCTTGCACCAAAGAGAGCAGAACAAAATCAGTAATCAGTTAAAAACACAGTGGAAAAATAATCAAGATCTGTTTTTTACTGAAACTATTTTAACAAAAGTCCAATTGAAGCCTTTTGTAGGTTCTCTGCCACACAAACAGCACTGAAGAGCCAACAAATTGCTGATTAGGAGAGTCTTGTTTGAATTTACTTTAATCATTTCTCCACACATTTAGAGTGCTAAATGATGATTTACACCATTTAACGTCAGGGAGAAGGAGCATATAAATCTTTGTTGGTACATATGGGGTAGTTTAAAGCGCTGTGTTTTAATTGCTTCTGAAGGGGTGCCCCCTTTCATTGTGGAATATCTTTACCAGCCAGTGTGTTTCAATTTTTTATATTTTGGGCCTCCACATCTTTAATGTGTATATATATATATATATATATATATAATTTTAGGGGTGTAAAGTCTGCATGAAAATTCCAAGTCAAAAGTTGGAGAATAGTGGCTGTGATGCCAGTCACTGTTTATAAATTAGTGTGCTGTTTTGTATATTAATAAAACTTAATTACATATGTGTTTTTTTCAGCCCAACTCTTAAAAAAAAAAAACAAAACAAAACAATAATTTGGTTCTAATACAGTCCCAAATTGTGAGATAAACCTAAAGTGGGTCTTTGCCATGGCCAGTCGTCATCTATGACTGTGCTCCACAATAGCCTTTTGCTCCATGATACTGAAACCATCGTCCACCGCATCTTCTCCATTATCTCAGTTTTCATTTGGCTCCCTTCCTCCTCTGGCCTCCATTCCACCACTACTTTCAGGCCCCAGGGTGGAAGATGTACCTGTCTTAACTCATCTGCTCTATTAAAACATCATCATTCTCTATGCTTACGTATTCCACTGGGGTTTTAGCACCAAAGGCTATGTTTCTTATTTCAATCAATGTTTCTAATTTTTTAATATCTTCTGCGTGAGCCTTTCCAGGCTCTTATACCCCCAATTCTCATGACTCCAATTCCTAACCCTAAATTCAACCAAATTAACATCCACCTTTTAGGATACTATAGTTGAACCAAAATCATATTCTCTGTCTGGAGTGTGAAACATCATATTTTTACATTTTCTGTTAAGCATTGTTAAAAATGCATACAGTTTCCCTAAAATCATAATAAATTTAACAACAAAAAAAACAACAAAAATAGCTAAACAAAACTGTATCTTACAGTATTTGCACATGATAACAGATCCCTCTCCTTTGGGGGACTTGGCATGACCATTATAGCAAGTAATTCAATAAAATGTGAACCACAGCAGCAGCATGAGGTAGTTCCACCGATTAGCTCAAAGATTGTTGCCAGATTTCCCCAGACCCACTGCTAATTTCCACAAAAAAAAACATAACCAGCATGACAAATCAATATCTGTCTCTTTTTGCAATTTTATTGAAAGTATGGTTCAAAATCCAGCATTAGCTATGTCTTCTTCATGTTAATCGTCAACAAAACATGCATAACTGCATTTCTTTGATTGAATAGCAGTTTTCCACAAGTATAAAAGATTTGTAGTAGGTGATTTTTATGCTAGCACACATGGCTGACAATAAATTATACTCAATGGCTTTATGAACACATTAATCAGAAATAAGAAAAGTATTACAGATGGATTAGATACAATCTGTTTGCTATAGAGCAAGAGCACAAAAAAAGAGCTACACACACTGCTACATTGTTTTACAGCCAAAAACTAAAAGGACTAAAGGACTACAACAGCAAAATATCCAATAATAAGATAAAATAAATAAATAACAACAGCAATAAATTTAAAAAGACTAAAGAAATTAGTATTGTATTTATTTTTTCTAGAAAAAAAATATCAGTTGTGGATGGTCAGGGCCTTCAAGGCCATCAATGCAGGCCTAAAATCAATCAGAAACACTAACCTACAATCCCAATCTTAAATTTTCTTCTATCCAACTTAACGTTAATTTATTGAAAACAATACATTCTTTTAATTTTGTAGTATTTCTCTTGGCTGTGCTGCTTCCATTACATTTATATAGTTGCTATATTTTTGTCCAATCAGATTTCAGCCTACTGTGCATTGCTATATCAATCGAATCTGCTCAGGGTCTTCAGAATCTGCAGTCCTGGCTGATGGTAAATGGCGTGTACTTATATACGCCTTTTTTCAAGTCAGGAGACTTGACCAAAGCGCTTTACACCACATTCATTCACCGGCAGAAGCGGGGCTGCCGTACACTGGTGCCACCGGGCCCTCTGACCACCATCAGTAGACAATGCAGGTGAAGTGTCTTGCCCAAGGACACAACGACACTGGGTGTCGGAGCCGGGGCTTGAACCGTCAAGCCTTCGATTTCGATTTCAGGGCAATATTTGTGA